GGGGGGGATTCAGAGGCACTTTAGAATATCCAGTGCCCAACTTTTTTCATGACAAAGGAATGTACATTATTGCTGCATTCTGGGAGCATTAAATTGTCTGGGAGACAAAGTTTTCATACATAAAGAAATTAGATCTAGAATGTACTTGGCCCAAATGATTATTAAGAGACTTTCATTTGCCTTTCAAAAGAATGGAAAGGATTCCGAGCAATAGATGGAATGCCTGTAAATTTCGTCATTCTTCCAGAATGACAATTTGCTTGTATTACTTTAGAAAAACCAGAGTCATAATTTAAAAAATAAGAGGCCAAAATCCTATGTTAAAAAATATTAGTAATGTAATCTAAATTCATTAGTTGTTCAGAGAAAGGAAGCACTAGGTGGAGCTAGACTTAAATGAGAGGAGACTGCAGGGCTGAGGGTGTGTAAGAGAATTTGGGTGACTACTGGAAACAACACAAATGACCAGCACTTTATCACAGCATCCTACACATTGTAGGCATTTGGTAAACACTTGTTTTACTTCACCACAGTAATAGCTTCTGTTTACTGAGTGTTTACATTATGCTGGATACTAGAGCAGGACTGTTCTGTATAGACAAGGGAAAGACCGGGATAGCTCAGCTAGTGAGTTGCAGGCTGTTTAATTTCAGGCCTGGAGCTTTTAACCTTTGAGCAGTTTTCTCTAGTGTCCTCACCATCACATGGAGAGGTTTCACTTTATGTGACAGTGGTGTTTATGAAGATGCTTCAGAATCTCACAGAAACATTGAACTGCTACAGAAGTTGAAGGTGATAGTGTGCCACTGTTGTTGCAGCCTCGTGTTTATAGCCTGTTGATATAAGCTCTGTGAATCGCCACATATGTAAGTAAGGACAGCTCTGCACAGTTATCCCTGTTTCACAGAGGAGCCACGGGCTCAGTCAGATTCCTGCACCTCACCCAAAGACCCAGAGCTTAGGGAAGGCCACCTGGGCTGGAGTTCAGATACCATGCTGCCTCTCTGTAGTTTTGGAGATTGGGTATATCTTAACTGGTTTAAGGCATTTCTCACAGTTTGCTTACTTACTTAATCTCTTCTAGGAGTTGAAAAATTCACTCTCTGTAGTTTCCAGTTGTTCATAGAGCACCCAAGTGGCAATTTCTGAGATTTATTTCTCAATTTTGATTAGTCTCGTAGATTTAATCCTGTTATCTTTGTATTTACTTCCTGTTCTCAGTTTATTTGATTCAGACTTTACATTTTAACAACAGAAACATTGTTAACTTTGCCTTTTTGTAAGGAAACGGATAGATTGTTTTCTGCCCCTGTCCTTGTGTTGTCTTTCAAAGATGGAAAGTGGAAATCAAACACATTAACGTGATGCAGGTTAAGTAAAGTTACCAGGGAGCTGAGGGTTCTTTTAGGGTTACCAAAACTCGGTTTGCCCCTGTTGTTATCATGAGTTCCACAGTTGTATAATGAGTGTTTGACCTCGATCAGGGAATGATAAGGGATGGGGATGGTGAGCATGAGCTGTCATTGGGCCCAGGAATGCCGGTGGTCTCCACGACCTCGCTGGGTAGGGAGTTAGCAGAAGGCAGATTGACTACTGGCAGCGATTTCTCCTAGGAAAACTGGAGCCCATGAGTGAGGATGTCCCCACACTTTAAACTTTTGTTCCTTTAGGATTGTTTTTCTTAGTGACTTTTTACTTAGATGGCTAACCATGGAGGTACACTTTACTGGCTAATCTTTTCCACCCCTTTTCTTTTGTCGGGATCAGTGCCAGAACAGATAAAGCCCAGTGTAAGCCAGCCTCAGCCTGCCAACTCTAATAACGGCACTTCCACAGCAACCAGCACTAATAATAATGCCAAGCGAGCCACAGCCAACAGTCAGCAGCAGCCACAGCCGCCACAGCAGCAGCCACAGCAGCAGCCACAGCAGCCGCAGCCACCACAGGCCTTGCCTCGGTATCCTCGTGAAGTACCACCACGATTTCGCCACCAGGAGCATAAACAGCTTCTAAAGAGGGGTCAACATTTTCCTGTCATAGCAGCAAACCTGGGATCTGCTGTTAAAGTGTTAAACAGCCAGTCAGAAAGCAGTGCTGTGTCAAACCAACAGCCACAAAATAACGGAGAGGTGCAGAGCAGCAGAGACCAGTCAGGTGAGAGAAGGCATTTCTTACGAGACTTCAGCTGCCGTCAGTAGCGGTGTAGCAGGTTTATAATTCACGGCTTTGGGGTGATGTGTCTGTATTCATTAGTATCTGGGTTGCAAAATAAGAATCTGTACAGGGAGTTATGTATAGGGAGTCTGGAAATGTTGCCTGTAGGTCACTACCCATCCTACTTTAAAAATGACGATTAATCTACTCACCCTCCAGGTTCTACCTATTTTAATAAGCACCTTATAGCTTAAATTGATCATAAGACTATAGCTAGAATTGAACACTCCCCTCAAGCTACGTGCTAAGCAGTTGTACATATTATTGCATTTAATCCTCAGCAACCTTGTGAGGTGTAAACTGCTCTTGTCTCCACTTTTCATTAGAGGAAACTGAGGTACCAGGCCATGAAATAACTTGTCCAGACCAGTCAGTTAACCATTTACCATTAAAAAGACTACACTCGTGGAAATTATATTCAAACAGTACATGCATTCCGCTGTTACCTCAGTGCCTTTTCTCAGTGCAGCAGTGATTGTGAGGCAGAAAGTACATCTGGTGCGTGACTACAGCTTCCTCGAAGCGCAGTGTGTTTTGACATGTTCTGAGAGGTTCTGAGGGTTGGTTGGTTTCCCTTCTTTCACCAAAGTATTTTGAATCTTTTATCAGAAGCCAGCTAGAGAATTGAGGAGATTCAAGGTTCCCACCCATGAAAACATGGGTACTGGAAATGGATGGTCTCGAGCCACATGGACCTGGTTTTTAAATCCCAGCTCCACTGCGTGCTCATGTGTCTGCGTCTCACCCGAGCAGCCCTTTCTAACCGTCCCAGGAGAGTTACTCATTCCTGCTGCTGTGCTCTCTCTAGAGTAGGAGCTACTCTGAACCCCATCCTGAGTTAATGCTCTCCCCTCCAAAAGCTTACTGCCAGGTTAGCTTGGCCAGATCCCTCAGCTCACCCGAGCCTCTCTCACAGTCTGTAAAGTGTGGACAGGAGTATCCAACCTATCAGGTTGCTTTGAGGATTGAATTATGTGACATGTTAAAGCAAATAGCTTAGTGCCAAACACTCTGGCACTGGGTGGATTACCTCCCCTGAAAGTGCAGAGACCTCCACTCAGGAAGAAGAGTCTGCTTTAGACTCACCCCTCTCATGCCCACTATTCGATATTCGGTTTGAAGTTCATCTGGGAAGTCAGATTGGAAGCCAATGTATTGAGTCTTCAGCATAATAAAAAATGCAGTTAAAATCTTAGGGGAGGTTATTATATAACAAATGCTTGAGTACCTACTACAGGCTAAGCAATGGTGGTATGGTAATTAAACAGGGAAGTGGTTGGTAAATTTAGAAAATGATATATGTTGAATATGCTTTTTCAATTTGGGAAATGAAAGAACAAAACTGAGTTTGAAATGGAAACAACTGGATATGGGTCAAAAAATCCAAAAGTGTTACCGATATACATTCAGATGACAAGAAGGCCTAAGATGTGGGCATAGGAAGATGTCTTCAAAAAAGTCTGAGAAGGCAAAACATCCCACCTGTTACGAAAGGACTTTACAAGGGTGAACAGTGTTAATGTGGAGGGTGAGGTGGAAGTCAGGAGGGTGCAGCAGCCTGACTGCAGCCAGGAGTTAAGTCCGCACACACCTGGAGCGCAGGTGCTGAAGGAAAGCAGTCTGCAGAAGAACCAGATGTGTGCTTTTGTCTCTTTTTAAACATCTGTGAATTCCCACCTACCCATATGTCACGTGTTTACATTAACATTTCTTTGTGGTGCTACTAGGAAGGATAGTGGAAACTTTAGCCACAGAATAGCCTACAGCCCACTGGGTGTCTGAATCAGAAGATTTCATAGACAGTTAGCTCTGTCCTGGCTCCTGATGGGTTACTATAACAATATAGCAACTAACCCTTGAGGTGCTTACTGTGGCCCACTGACTGTATTAGTGCACTTAGTCATCATTTATAGATGAGGCGCATTCATTCCACGGTCAGAGGTTGCCTGGTGGTCGTGAGGAGCGGTGCCGTGGACAGCATCCACAGCACGCGCAGTAGCCCAGAAACAGCCTTCTCGTGAGCTGCGTGCAGTTCAGCATCGTGGGCAATGATCTGTTTTCATTTTTGTATATTTGTATTTACATTTGGCCTTTTGTTTCCTAAATAGAAATAGTTAATGGAGTAGAATTGACATTTAAATTAATACATAGAATACATACATAGAAATGTACTTAAAGTCTTTGTGGTAACAATGAGGAATGCTGGATGTGTCTCCCTTTTCCTCATATAATGCATTTCTCATTTATTCTGTGCAGTCTCGGAGTAGGGATAGTACCTACAGGAGATTGGGTACTTTATAAATCAGAGGTCGCAAACTAAAATGCCTCTGCAAGCTGGCAGGTAAGTGAAATAGAAGGTGAAAGGGAGTGAGGGGCCAGGGGTGAAGACTGATTTCTGTTCCTGCCTAAGATCCTTTACATGCTTAGGTTAGGCTTTGTAGAGCCCTATGCTGGTCAAACCAGACAGCTCTGCAGGCTGAGCTCAGACACAGGGACGCTTTCAGTTGATGCTCTGAGACCTCTTGCAGTCGGTTCTTTTGAGCCCTAAGGCATCAGGCCCTGTTACTGCCCAAATGACACTAAATTTGGGGCAACAAATGCTTAACAGGGCTGGCAGCAGTATTGTCTTTATGGGCCAAACCCACATTTTATCATCGTGCTTACATGATAAATACAGACATTGAACAGATAGAACAGCGAGCCCTCCACACCCTCCACCCGAATCCCCCAGCGGTTACTACTTACCCATCCTGATTTCACAGGCATCCTCTCCCCCTATCATGTAGACATGCATGTGCACATGTGTGCTCAAACATTCATTTCTCTTCACCTTAAATACTTCACAGGTAATTTCCTAAGATTAAGGACAGTGTCCTACGCAACCATGGTACTATGATTACCCTGAGCAAACGGGGCACTCACATTTCCACTGGCTGTCCCAAGAATGTCTTTTTGTTTGTTTATAGTATGGTATCATTTATAGAAAATATAAAGCATGCAAAACAACATTATGTATTGCCTAGGGATGAACTAAAATACAGCATTTTGAGGCTACCTGTTCGGGACCCTTCTCGCTGCAGCAGGAGCTGTTTTGTCTCCTTTAATAAGCTTTTGCTTAAAATATATAGCATTTTGAGAGGTTACCACTCGGTTACCCAGTGGGAAAGGAAAGGCGTGTAATCAGGGTTACACAAGAGTTTGATACTGTAATGAGTAGCATCTTTCTTAAGGTGAGCAGCATGTGGGTATCTTTATAGTACTCTTCGTACCCTTTCCTGCTTTTGAACTTTTTCTAAAAGGAGCACAGGGACATTTGAGCTAGAATGGTGAAACACTAAGACTTGGGGCTATATGAACAGAAATGTTAACATTAAAATTCCCAGGGATGTTTAACGATTAGAACACTATCCATCCACCTGTGCTCCTCAGTCTTTTCGGTGTGGTGTCCTCGCTGTCCTGGAACTTCCCCTCCTCAACCTCTACTTGCACCTTCCCCTTGGTCTGTGAACATACACTCAAGTCTCTGTCATCCTTTAAAATAAATTCCTTTAAACTCCCATTCTCTTGAGACTATTATAGAACTTCTTTCCTCCACTTTTCTCAGGGTTCTTGAAGGAGCAGCCCAGACTTGCAATCTCTAAACCATTACTTCAATCCTCTGTAATCTGACTCCTGCTTACTTGACTAACATAGCTCTTACCAAGGTCACTGATCTTGTGAATGTCAGGGACAGGCTTAGGTTTACTTTTAAATGGGGTAAAAATCAGACTTTTCTATTTTTATCTTAATAGGTATCTACGTGTTTTTTGTTGATCACTTTCTCCTTAAAGCTCTTTCATTTTTTCATTTTTCTTTGACTGGTGCTCAGATTTTATTCCCTCCCATGGCTTTATTTCAAATCACTCCCCATTTTTAGGTTCGTATCTTCAGCTGATTTTGAGCCCCTCACACTCAACGTGTCAAAAATTGAACTTATTCTCTTGCCACGTGCCAGTTTCTGCTCCTGGATTCTTTCGCTCAAAAGGTTGGCAACCCCCGTTCATGCAGTCCCCATCTAGAACTCTTAAAATCATGCTCAACTCCCCTCTTTCTTCTTAGTTTTTTGCAGGTCACGGTTTACCATGCCCTGCTGAATTTAACTCCAAAATGTCTCTGAGCTTTCCTCTTTCGTCTGCACTGCTGCCACCATTGGCCTGGCTGAGGCACTCGCCATCTGGTCTAGAGTCCCAGCCCCAGAATGTCTTACAGCTGTCCCCCAGCTCACTCACCACGGCTCTTCACCCAGAACCCAGTCATGACCCATGTGTTGTAGTTGGTTGTGGTTCTGCCATTGTTGTCTTTAATCTAGAACAGAGGCTGGCTTGTAGCCTGATGGTCACCACTCCCATTCCTTTGCATGTTGTCTGTGCCTGCATTCAAGCTACAGTGGCAGAGTATCCATTGGAGTAGTTGCCACAGAGATCATCTGGCTGGCAAAACCTAAAACATTTACTAATGGGACTTTTACAGAAGTTCGCCAACCACTGGACTAGAGGCCAGAATAACTGGAAGAAACATTTTGTATTTTCTCACTTAAGTGATATTTGAAATTGTGTGCCTAAGATTCTCTCAATTTCCAGTGACACCATTTCATACTTTCTGGAAATACTATTAAACTCCAAGTACTATTTCTGAAGGTCTTTCCTTTCCAAGAGACTGAAAGTCTCTAAGGCAGAAAGCACGCATTTACTTAACTAAACATGCTAAAATGTGATAAGAAAAATACATGAATTTGCCTGGATCTAAATGGGTCCTGAATAAATTACTTGTCATATGGCCACTCTTTGTTCGGCCCCACAGGCGCTCTTTGGCCTTCCTGAGCAGGTGCTGTGTGGCGCACTGTTGTATTCTTCATCAGGTGGTGCTGGAGCCGCTTCCTCTCTTTAAGGTGATTGTGTGTGAGAGTAGGATGCTGGGCTTCTCCTGTTTTTCAGTGACGTGCAGTCATCCAAAGTTTAGTTGCTTCAGTAGTGCAGTGCATAAAAACTTATATTTTGTGACAGCAAAACTCCACTGTCCCCTTTGCTCCCACCTGCACAGGGACCTATAGTAGTATTGTTTCTCATTATTTCCTGTGAAAGCTTTATGGTCATCTACTTACTGATGTTTCTGTACATTTATTCTCATTTGTAGTGATGGGTTTTGGCTTCCTTTCCTGGAAGGGAACTAGGTTATTTGTCTGCTTCCAGTTATGAAGGAGCCTGGCTGTGAAACATTCTAGTTGTGATTGCTGAGGAGTCTTACTCTTTTTACAGCTTCAATTAGACTAACATCTCTACACACTCGCACACGCACGCACACATACACGCGTGTGTCTCTTAGAGTTTTCTGTCTGAGCTACAACATTTTCATAACTAAAAGGTCCTTGTGGATCCACCTTGGTAAATGCAATTTTTGAAATAGCCTTTTAATTTAGTTTTTTTGGAAGTGTCAAGTTAAGTTCCAGATTAAAAATGGAATTTTATCGAATAATTACTGTTGGCATCTCTCCTTATTTTCTTAAAATACATAGGAATGTATAGCAGAAGACAAATTTAGACCACCACCACCTCCAAACAATGTGGGGGCCTGGTTCTGAGAGAAATCCTCCCTCACAGCTCAAGGTCTCTGAGAGAGTTAGTTTTTAAAATGCGTATTTTGCTGGTTCTTTCTTTTGATGTGTGTGGACATTGGAAAGCTTCACTTTTTTAATAAGTAGTGAAGTCTGTATCTCCTTTTAATGGTTTCTTTCTTTGCTTTTATGTATAGAAAATTCTCATTCAGTAATAACTTCATGTTTTCATTTTTAACACTTGGCTTTATTTGGAAAATTGTCTCATTTTTTAAAATCTTTTAAAAGTACCGTGGCCCAGCCAGGCATGGCTCAGCAGTTGAGCATCGACCTAGGATCCAGGAGATCTCAGTTCGATTCCTGGTCGGGGCACATGCCCGGGTTGTGGGCTCGATCCCCAGCAGGGCGTGTGCAGGAGGCAACCGATCGATGACTCTCTCATCATTGATGTTTCTCTCACTCCCTTCCTCTCTCTGAAATCAATAAAGACTTTTTTTTTAAATATAAGTACTGTGTATTCCTTTTCCCCTGTGATTTAAAGGGCTGATCTCTGACACGTGCAGGGGTCTATTCCTGGACTCCTGTTCTGTTCAGCCGAAGGGCCTGGTATCCAGCCCCTCAGGTAGCTCGGCTGTTTCACGGCTCAAGAGTGCGGCCCCCCCCTCCCCCTTCACACTCTTCTTTCTGAGATTTTTGAAAATTTTCGCTTGTTTATATGAATTTTTAAATCACTTTAATCAAGTTACAGACTCCTGTTAGCAATTCCTTATAATTGAATTAAACTTCAGACATCGTCACAGCTTCCTGTTGAGGAAGTGTGTATACTCATACTCAATCAAGTTGTCTTCAGTATGGCCTGCAATAAATGTAGTCACATAGGACTTCAAGGGTGTTTGTAGCTTATTCCAGGTTGCCTTATGGTTTTTTGTGGCTGTTAATATGAGGCTCTTCTTCCCGTCCTGCTTTCCTGTTGATTATTCCTGGAGTGTAGAAAACTATTGCTTTTTAAATGTTAACTTTTTCTGTTTCTTTTCTATCTTTACCTCATTTTGGAGTCATATCGATAGGTTAGTATTTCCAGCACAAGGTTGAGTAGTAGTGCTGATGACAAATATTCCATCTTTCCCCTGTTATGGGAATGCTTCTGACATTTCATTGTTAGATCCCAGGTCCTTCCCTTTATTTTCAACTTGGTTACTTGTGTCTGACATTCTAATTCCCGCCGTATAGAGGTGGCAACACACAGTACAGAGCAAATGATGGCAACAGAAATACTTATGCTCTAGCCCATAAGGAGATGGTGATGGTGGCTTCTTTGTTTTAGATCTGGAGAAAAGTGGATGGATTTGGGACTTGATAATGTTTGCATTTGCTGTACACACGAAGGAATCAAGGCTAAACCTTAGGTTTTAGGAAATTTACTGAGATGAGGAAAATTAGTCAGTGAGTGGGATCATTTCTCCCTTTGGGAGGAGGTCCTTGTGGTAGGGGTACCAGTGCCCAGGGTTGCTTCGTGGACTCGGTGACCATGTGCATGTGAAGCACGGGGGCATAGTGCTGAGTGGTGTGGCAGTGCAGGTGCTGGCGTGTTGGTTTGTCTATATCCAGTACTTCTGACGGGCTTTTGATACCCTTTATTTCCTTGTGGGTTTGGGAAGATGACAGACTTTGTCAGCTTAAAAAAGACTCTTAAACGGGGAGTGAAGGTCCCTTATAGAACTTTAAAATACATATATTTGTTGAATTATATATACATTTCCAGTGTCTCTCTAGCAGCCCTTTTTTCTGCTACTCTTTATAGTTCCATCACCTTTTGATGCTTAACAATTATGCTTTGAGAGAGAATGATGTGAGATGGACCTGATTTTCCTGTCCGCCTTCCTCTACAAGAGTTACATTTGTTTTCTAGGCCTACAACCTAGTGGTGGGTGCATTAGGCCTGGGGCATGACTTGAGTGCAAAGCATTGCATATGCTGATGACTACTCTAAAGAGTAGTAATGCAACCCCCTAAGGACAGTCTAAGTGCAGGCTGTAGCCTAATGCCTGTGAGGACTTTCCCTTAAACCAAATCGGGAGCCCTAGAACTGCCTGCCCTGCCTGCTGGAAAATGACTAGATGGTAATATGCAGCAGTAGCTCCAAGACTATTGGATTATATGGCTGGTCATTAACAGTCTTCAAAATCAGCAGTTGATTTTTAATCATAGGCATCCTGTGGTCGTCAGCATATCAGTTTTTTTGGAAGGCAGCTATGCTCACCACTATACCACCAATGCCCGATATCAGTTTTTTTGTAGTTGTTCAGTAAGCAGGGCTAGGCAGGTAAATTAAGACATTTTTATGAAGAAGAGAAAAGCTAAAAATATCCTTATGTGCCGCATCAGGCTGAGTGTGAATGCTCATGAGTGGGAATGTCATGGCAGAGACTTTGTAATTCTATGAAGGGGCCACACGACCCAGATGTGTGTGGAAAAGCTGCTGTAGCCTGGCGGGGGGCTTGGCTGGTTCAGCATCATCCTGTGCATCAAAAGTCTGCAGTTCGAGTCCTGGTCAGGGCCGTCAGTCGATGTTTCTCTCTCTCTCTTTTACTGTCCCCGCCCCCCCTTTCCTCTCTCTAAGCATGTCCTCTGGTGAGGATTTTAGAAATAAAGCTGGTCCAAGGAAGAAAGGCTGGAAAAGGATTCCCGATATACAGGAGTGAGCAGAAGTAGGTTTACAGTTAGAATACAGTGGTGCCTCGGTTTTCGAACTTCTCCATTGACGAGTGTTTCGGTTTACGAACACGGTAAACCCGGAAATAAATGCTTCGGTTTTCAAACAAGCCTCGGAAGTCACATATACCACACGGCTGCCACTGGGGGCAAGATCCTGAGGCCTGGCTTTTGGCTGTGGATCCCTCAGTTTTTGAACGTTTCATAACTCAAACGGTCTTCCGGAACGGGTCACATTCAAAAACCGAGGTACCACTGTACAAATACAATAATTAATAATAATATTTATAATATTAATTATTATTGTATTTGTATTACAACTATAGCCCTACTTTGCCCATCCCTGTGTTTCTAATACATTTAGTTTTGCCTGTTCATTGTCTTCACCCATCTACATCTCAGCCTCTTCTCCCCCTGCCAGGCCTCTAAGCCTGGTTGCTTCATAAGTGCTAACACATTATTACCACCTCATCCTGCCTGGCTCTGAAATTCTTCTACTTGCTGATAAGTTAGCAATTCATTCACTTAGCAGGTATTGATTGAGGAGCTCTTATGTTCCAGTCACTGCTCTAGGCTCTTAGGACAACATGGGTAAGCAGAGTGCAGAACTCCCTGCCTGTGTGGAACTGATTAGTGTATGTGGAAAGTGTCTGGATGTAACCAGTGCCCTTGCAACCGTACTGTGAGGTGCTATATCTTGTTGGTGTAGAGCAGCCACATTTATCACATAGCCATCTATTTTTTAAACACTTAATAAAAATGTACTTCTCTTTTATTCTAGATACAAACCACAACACTTCTGCATCTCATTATGAAAATTCGCAGCGGGGACCTGTGTGTTCTTCGAGCGACTCTAGCACAAACTGTAAAGATGCTGTTGTAAGCAACCCCCCTGAGAAAGCATGGCCCTTGGTCCCTGGCAGTGATCCAGAGTTGGCTTCAGAATGTGTGGATGCTGATTCCACCTCCAGTTCTGAACCAGAAAGAAGCATCACTATCATGGCTTCAGGGAGCACAGGTGGTGAAAAAGATTGCCTTCGAAACAGCACTGGACTTGGTTCCCAAAACAAGTTTGTGGTTGGTGGCAGTAGCAATAGTGTGGGCCGTGGAAGTAGTACTGGGCCCTGGGGCTTCTCCCATGGAGCCGTAATAAGCACATGTCAGGTCTCTGTGGATGCTCCTGAGAGCAAGTCAGAAAGTAGCAGCAATAGAATGAATGCTTGGGGCACTGTAAGCCCTTCATCAAATGGAGGGGTAAATCCAAGCACTTTGACTTCAGCTAGCAGCCACGGTGCCTGGCCAGTATTAGAGAACAGCGGACTTGCCCTAAAAGGGCCTGTAGGCAGCAGTAGTCCTGGCATCAATATTCAGTGCAGTACCATAGGCCAGATGCCTAACAATCAGAGTATTAACTCTAAAGTGGGTGGGGCTACCCATGGTACCTGGGGAAGCCTTCAGGAAACTTGTGAATCCGAAGTGAGTGGTACACAGAAGATTTCATTCAGTGGTCAACCTCAGAATATCACCACTGAAATGACTGGACCAAATAACACTACTAACTTTATGACCTCTAGTTTACCAAACTCCGGTTCAGTACAGAATAACGAACTGCCTAGTAACACGGGGGCCTGGCGTGTGAGCACAATGAATCATCCTCAGATACAGGCTCCATCGGTTATGAATGGCACTTCCCTTCCTCACCTTAGCAATGGAGAGTCAAAAAGCGCAGGCTCTTATGGTACTACCTGGGGTGCCTATGGCTCTAACTACTCTGAAGACACATGTGCGAGCCCCGACGGCCAAGCTGATGGTGACACTGTGAACGCAACTCTAATGCAGCCTGGCATGAATGGGCCTGTGGGCACAAACTTCCCGGTGAACACAAATAAAGGAGGAGGCGTGTGGGATTCCGGGGCCACGAGTTCCCAGAGTGCATCCTGGGGAAGTGGAAACGGTGCAAACTCGGGAGGAAATCGAAGAGGATGGGGAGCTCCTGCACAAAACACTGGCACTGATGTTCCCAGTGTGGAGTGGAGCAAGCTGCCTGGCAATCAGCATTCCAGTGACAGTGCAAATGGCAGTGGTAAGAAGTTTACAAACGGATGGAATTCTACTGAGGAAGATGACCAGGGTTCTGCCCCAGCTCAGACGAATGAGCAAAACAGCGTGTGGGCCACAACAGGAGGTACCGTGGGCAGTGAAGGCAGTGCAGAAAGCACTGGACGCCTCGAGGAAAAGGCCACTGGGGAGACTCAGAGTAGAGACAGGAGGAAAATTGATCAGCACACGTTACTCCAAAGCATTGTTAACAGAACTGACTTAGATCCGCGTGTCCTGTCCAACTCTGGTTGGGGACAGACTCCTATTAAGCAGAATACTGCCTGGGATACCGAGGCATCACCTAGAGGGGAAAGAAAGACTGACAATGGGACAGAGGCCTGGGGGAGCTCTGCAACACAGACATTTAACTCAGGGGCATGCATAGACAAGACTAGCCCTAACAGTAATGATACCTCATCTGTATCGGGGTGGGGAGATCCCAAGCCTGCTCTGAGGTGGGGAGATTCCAAAGGCTCAAACTGCCAGGGGGGGTGGGAAGATGATTCTGCTGCTACAGGAATGGTCAAGAGCAATCAGTGGGGGAATTGCAAAGAAGAGAAGTCCACATGGAATGATTCGCAAAAGAACAAACAGGGCTGGGGTGATGGACAAAAGTCAAACCAAGGGTGGTCTGTTTCTGCCAGTGATAACTGGGGAGACACGTCAAGAAGTAACCATTGGGGTGAGGCTAATAAGAAATCTAGCTCAGGAGGTAGTGACAGTGACAGGTCCGTTTCTGGCTGGAATGAACTTGGTAAAACTAGTTCTTTTACTTGGGGAAATAATATAAATCCAAATAATTCATCAGGATGGGATGAATCTTCTAAACCTAACTCTTCCCAGGGATGGGGAGATCCTCCGAAGTCTAGTCAGTCGATGGGTTGGGGAGATTCGGCAAAGCCAGTCAGCTCTCCAGACTGGAACAAGCAACCAGATGTTGAGTCTTGGGGAGTCCCTCCAGCTCCAGGCAAACCCTCTGGTACAGGCTGGCTGGGAGGACCTATTCCAGCTCCGACAAAAGAAGAAGAACCCACAGGCTGGGAGGAACCGTCCCCAGAGTCCATACGGCGCAAAATGGAAATTGATGATGGAACCTCAGCTTGGGGAGATCCCAGCAAATACAACTACAAGAATGTGAACATGTGGAACAAAAATGTCCCAAGTGGCGGCAGCCGCTCAGACCAGCAAGCACAGGTGCACCAGCTGCTGCCTTCTGCAAGTGCCATCTCTACCCCAGAGGCAGGCCGGAGCTCCGGTGAGTTGTTACTTTGTGGCGTCTGATGGGTCTTACAAACACTTCACAGGACTGTGAGCCTTGTTTCAGTTTACTTTATGATAAGATGTGTTTAACAGAGTGTTCACTGCACACAGAGGCCTCTTTTACTCTAATCCAGGAGAGGCTTATAGGGAAGAAAATTATAGGTGAGGTGTTCACCATCAGGGAGCAGCTCTGCCTTCAGCGATATCGGGTGTGAATCCCACGTACTCTGTTCTCTCTGGAATGCTGCGGAAGGCAGAACTGGAAAGGTGGTGTCAGGTGGGAATGCTGTACACTTTTCTCAGTTCTTAGGCTGCACTTTTTGCTTTTATTATTAGGCTAAAATAGTCTCAGAAATAGAACAAGTGTTAATGACAATACTCTAAATACTAGGTACTGTATTTGGCCTTAGCGGGGATTTATTTAAGTAGGCCTGAAATCCAAGTGTATTAGATACAGCGTGGGTGCGCACGCGCACCTAAAACATTTGACAGTACCTCTCTAGTATATTCCCACTTTCCCCTAATAACAAGGAACTGATTTCTGTCTCTGCAAATGATCTCGACATTAAGTATAGTTTATTGTATTAATGTAATTAGCTTAATTCTTAGAAGAAACAGCTATGTATCTAATGGGGGAAGGCTGTTTTGGTTTTTTTAAACAACATGTTTATGGCTTTGCCTTTCTTTGTTTTGGACAACTTAATAATACTTCAAACTTTTTAAGAAGCATTGTCCAGCACTTATAAATGTAGGATCCATTTTTCCAGGATGGTGATGTTGAAAGGTTGCACGTATGGTAAAAATTCTGTACACACACGAGTACCCAGCATGCTCACCTGCTTTAATTCACTGGGTTTAGTTCAGACAGACTTGACTTCCAGGAATTAAATTTATCTTTAAAGCAGGATGACTTGCCGTGATTAAGGTTATTCAAAAGCATCTGTTCTACACCCAGAGGGCAGTTAGTACAGTTAAGTTGCAGGGATGGGAAATTACTTGTCTTCTTTGCATCAAACAGATGCCATCTTTTTTGCCCATCACAGCGTCACTATTTAATACATAAATGTGAAGTGCTTCACCTGTTGTTCCCTAAGTATTCCTTGTTGCCTCTGATTCCACTGTACTTCCCTACCATGTGCTGATGACTTCTTTTCCCACACTTTCTAAAGGCTGGGGTGAGCCCTGGGGGGAGCCTTCTACTCCAGCCACAACTGTGGATAATGGTACTTCAGCATGGGGTAAACCCATAGACAGTGGTCCCAGCTGGGGGGAACCCATTGCTGTGGCATCCAACACATCCACGTGGGGCTCCAGCTCTGTTGGTCCACAAGCGTTAAGCAAATCTGGTAAGTTATTGATAATCCCTGGTAGCTCTTTTATAGCAGTGGTGATCTCTCATTGAATATAATTAATTGGATATCTGTCATGTTAAGGTAGCATGTATCATCATTCTAGATGATACTCATTATTTGGCTCTTTAAATTTGCAACATGGTTTACTCTTTCCAAATTTTCTGTCTTTTCTCGTTTTCCTTAGAACTGCAGGTATTAATGATTTGCATATACTTCACCAAGTCTGAGTTATATTTTACCAGATTAGATTACCTGGAAATAGTCAAGCAGCTTTGAGGTTGTCCAACATGAGAGACTAAATGTAATTGTCACAGGGATACACAGGCAGACTGGCTCAGCTTCCAGATGATTCTCTAAACATTACACACAAAATGAACAGAATTTCCAGTGTTCAGATGAACGTTGTCACGGTCCCGTAGTTTGTATATGGGACACCCCCTTGAAATTCCAAAGGTCAAGTGTATAGATAGGACAGTTTCTACATATGACTTGCAGTACTTTTGGTCACTGTCCCAGAAACTATATATGAAAACGAACTCTTCTAAATTTTATCTGTCTTCTCTGTCCTGTGCGCCACCATGCAGATTGTTAAGTGAGTGCGAGCAAGAATGCCACCGTTGTCCCGTGTTTAGGAACCCTCTGATTCGTAAAACCATGGAAGGTTTTTTTATGGAATTTTTAATAAAAATAAATTCTTAATGAGACTTTTAACTCTGTGTATAACATACATTCCTGATATGCAGATCCGGGAAGGGAAATAAAAGTGGATTTTTTTAGGTTGTTCCCGAACCCTGCTCCCTTAATGTATGCTCATCCTCCAGAAAGAATTGTTTTTATTAAAGTGTGTTTCTCTCTGTATCACAAATCCACAACCAGGGCCAAAATCTATGCAAGATGGCTGGTGTGGTGATGATGCGCCATTGCCCGGAGACCGGCCGCCTGGCTGGGAGGTGGAGGAGGGCGTGGAGATTGGGATGTGGAATAGCAGCTCGTCGCAGGAGCTCAACGCCTCCTTACATTGGCCACCCTACACAAAGAAAATGTCATCGAAGGTAAACATTTCAAGGGCCACCCCCTTGAAACTTCAAATGCCAAAGGTAGTTGACCCACAGAAAGTGAATGTTCTGCCTGCCCATTGTGGCCGTCAGCCTAGTGCAGGCAGCCCCCACCCCAGGTACAGCCTCCTCTACGGGCAGCCACCCAGGAAAACAACCACAGGAACTTCCTTTCTCCCCACTGCTACAGCTTGGGATTTCTCTCCTCCCCCCTTCCACCCGTGCTGCCTGGAACGACCCTGCACCGTAGGGTGGTGCCAGCAGTGGTGGGGAGGAAGAGGAGGGCAAATCTCCGCGTCGACTCCTGCCATTGCACTGCCAGCTCATCTCCCATCCACCTCCTCCCCTGGCGTCCGACCTCCCTGTACCCAGACTTGCCCTCCCCATCCATGCGTTATCTCTGTCCCTTTCCCGCCCCAAAAGGTCCTGTGACAGAAATCCCCAGGAATGAGCCAAGCTTGGTTTTGCTTTTGTATGTGGACACATGTAATTCCCAGACCTGGCTGTACATCAGAACTATGTGGGGTTTGTTAACAGTACAGCTTCCTGTACCCCAGGCCTACTGTCTTTTGGAAATTGAACCCTGTGTCTTGTCCCAGACAAGCTTCCCAGTGTTTGTGCTGCAGAGCCAGGCCTGAGAGGCACAGGTTGGAGCTCTGGTTCTTAAGAGGGGGTGTCGGGTGCCGGTGTCTGATTCTCTCGGATACCATTTTCAAAACTTGCGCCCAGTCCCCAGATGATCCTGAAACATCCTCCCCACCCTGCGGGAAAGTTCCTTTTTGAGAGACCCTGGGAGTCAGGTATCTTGTCATATAATAGCTGACTCCCAGGGTCCCTCCTTTTAATCCTGGGATTCTAAGTCTAGGACCTGCCATTTCCATTTAAAAAAAACAAACATGTTTTATTTGGCTGAATTTGCCTGTTGCCTCACCATGTAGCTTATGAAGCGCTTTCCCATATTCTACATAAATCATTCAATCCTCATAACCTTCTGAGACAGAGTCCTGATGAATTTGAGGCTGGAAAAAGCGGTGACTTGCCCCATGTTGTGTACCTAGTAAGTGGCAGAACAGGGACTTAAGCTCAGGCCTTCCAGTTCCAACCCTGTGCCCCCCTGGACCGTGCTGTTTTGTGACTTTGTCTTTCCTTACAGGGTCTGAGTGGCAAAAAAAGGAGAAGGGAAAGGGTGTGTAGCCTTTTTACTTTCTCCTTGTTTCTGCTAGTGAGAGGCTTAGAGAGCAGCTGCGCACTTTATGTAGCCTCTGCTGTGGGCCAGGTGCTGTGGGCCAGGTGCTGTGTGCCAGGTACTGGGCTTGGTGCTGGGGGTTCAGAACGCTAGGACACGAGCTGCCCCTTCACGGAACTCAGAGCCTGGTGCGGGGCATTAGGAGCGCTGCGCTCTAAGCCGTGGCAGCCAGAATTTGGAACATGCCTGGGGTGGGACGTGTTAAGGAAAATAGTAGCCTGACATGACCAAAATGTAGAATTTTTTAGGAGATCTGGCTCTACGGTTAGACTAAGGGCAGATTGTAAAGGGTTTTCAATACCGTGCCCAAGAGTTTGAACTTCAGTCTGTATAAGTGTAGAGCCAACGAAATGGAATAGAAAGTAGCATCTGTTTGATTTTTAAAATTAATTTCTTTAAAGAATGTTAACCAGTGATAGAATGAAAAATAAATTGGAACGGGGGAAAGACCAGAGTTAAGAGCTCTGACTTGGGAAGCAAGAATGGGTGCAGAGTGGAAGGGACTGGCTTGAGAGACACTTGGAATAGGACAGAGGCCTTGCAGCCAGTTAGGTTCGGGTGGGAGGAAGAGGAATCAGACAGCCTCAGCACCTCACAGAGGATTAGACGCTTGCTTCAGAGACCTTCCTTTAGGGGGAGGTTAAGCTGTGTTCTGTCCCAGTCAGAAGGAACAGGTGGTAGCAATGGGGAAGGAAAACTAAGGTCGCAGACTGAGAATGGTCTGTGAGCTTCACATAGTGGGAGGCACTGGTCTGTGGCTCCCAGCCTCACGATCTACCACCCTGCTGATCATGGACCATTCATTCTCTCAACTCACATTCCAAAGTGGATTCTGTGTGGTCCATCTCCCTGCCAGCCTCAGAAAGCCAACACCAAGTAGGAGGAGCCCCAACTTTAGCTGCTGCTGGGGCTGGTGTGTTCTTGGCAACACAAATTGAAATTTTAAAATACTTTACCATATGGAAACGTTGTGTTTTTTCAGTATAGGGGACATAGCATAATTAAATTATGGGTTAAGTTGGTTTCTTTGGATTAACCTAAGAGCCTAAGGACTGTTTTTACTTTGGTGTGAGAATTCTATAAATCCAAATTATAATTTCTCCTTCAGAACACAGTCCATCTGTAAATGGAGAGTTGTCTGATGGGCAGGTCTGTTCCTCAGAGGGCCTTTTGCAGGCCGCTTGGGGCCCTTTGCTTCTGTCTGTTCCTTCTGACTAAGGCTTGCCTTCAGGGGTTTCTCTGTGCATTACAGCTATACCAGAGGACTGGAGCAAAGGAAGTTAAAAATCAAATAAGCTGATTTAAAATTTTTAACAACTCTGTTAAAGTTGATTGGAGGAGAAATTGGCTAAAAATGAGAGTTGAGAATTGTCTTGAAGTTTATTAATCCATCACTATACCCAGATAAACAGAAATGGCCACGGCGCCTTTCTACTCTTTTCTCTTACAAAGGGAATGATGAAGGGTGGCAACAAGCAAGAGGAAGCGTGGATGAACCCATTTGTTAAACAGTTTTCAAATATCAGTTTTTCGGTAAGTGTGTTTTGTTTTCCTAACAAATTCTTTACCTTTGAGTTCTTGTGAATAAGCTTGAGGTTAGAGTAAATTGGCCACGAAGCCTTTATTTTTCTAGTTTGAGCTAATAAACTTTAGTCATATATCTTATTTAAAAATTTTTTATTAGGCAGTGAAAAATGAAGTTTCATGATCCACTTAAATTCCACAAATAAATAAAGTAAAAAATTCTTTAGTTTTCTATCCATTTTCATTGATAAATTACAGTCTGCTCACATGCTTTCCTTAACTTCAGAGAGACTCACCAGAAGAAAACGTGCAGAGCAGTAAGATGGACCTTCCCGGAGGTAAGGAAGATTTAGTGAGTTTGCTTTATACTTACCCTTGATGGACGGGCGCGTCTGGGGCACGGCCCTCCTACAAGCACTGGCTTAGGCCGTGAGAGGACGCCTGGGTCCCTGGTGCGGAGTCAGTGTGCATAGGTACATGTATATAATTTATTTTTTAATCCTCACATGAGGATATGTCCATCGATTTTTAGAGAGGGAGGAAGGGGAGAGGGAAAGGAAAGATTTATGTGAGAGAGAAACATCGATCGGTTGCCTCTGGCATGCACCCCACTGACCGGGGATCGAACCCGCAACCCAGGTATGTGCCCTGACCGGCAATGGAACCTGCAACCTTTTTGGTGCACAGATGACGCTCCAACCAACTGAGCCACCTGGCCGGGGCAAGTTGATGTGCCTTCAAATTGCGAATCGCGAAACTAAGGCAGTGGTGACATTAATTTGAAGTATGGGATTAAAGAATTTTAAACAGGAGAGTGACATGGTTCAGATTTATGTTTTAGAAAAATAGTCTTGACTGTAGATTCATTGTATCATAGGACAGAAAATGTTGACAGCAGAGGACAGGCAAAAGGCTACTAAACATAGCAAAACCAGTCAGATTTGTTGCAGTAGCCAGTGAGTTTCTAAGCTCCAGACTAAGACAGTAGGTGTGAAGAGTCTAATTCAGTGGAGAGTGGGAATTAGAATCAACAAAAGTTGAACTAGTTTGTTGTGGAGGGTGAGATGTTCTTGCCTTGCAGTTTAGCAGTGGTTGTATGAAGCCTGAGTCTAGGTGTGAGAGGGAAACGACACAGTAATTTGAATAGGGAAAGTTTAATACAAATATAAAGAATTAGTATTAGAATAATGATGGTTTGGCCAGTTAGAGCTAAAGAGAAAAAGAATATGTGAATATTTCACAGAATATATCAAGGGCAGATATAAGGAGAAGTCACTAACCTTAGGCCTGAGGGAGCATTCCTGCCCCCGCCCGCCTCACACCAGGGTCGTGAGTTAGACTCGTGGACATGGCCTTGGCTCAGTGAATGGCAGAGAAGTCACTGAGGTGTCACCCCCGCAGGATTATAGGAAGCCCGCCTTCTAGGGGCGGTGTCTCATGGAGTCTCTCTGCTACAGAAGTGCCTGGGGCTGGTGGTGGGAGCTGCTAGCCAGTGGTGAGTGAGCATGGCCGGAGCCGGGACCAGAGCACTGCCTGTGCTGTGGGAGAGAGCACTGGACCCAGGAAACAACCTTTCTTCCCAGTGTCTCCCTGCACCCTTGCTGACAGCTTCAGTGTCCCCGGCAAAGGAAACAATATATAAAGTACCTCAGGAAGCCAGCCACATTCCTAAAATGTACCTATTCTAAGAATACTTTTGTTAAAAGCTTTTCTTTTCCACTTGCCTGGAATGAGGGTAGAAAGTATTGTAGTGGTGGTGGCAGTAACAGACATCTCAAAGGGCAGCAATTGCAAAGAAATGACAAGTGAGATTGGAGGACAGGGAACATACGGAGAATGGGGACCAGGGCAGTGGAGAAAGATTTTCAAGTCTGTGTGACTAGTCCCGTGAAGGAAGATCTGGGGAAGTGTGCTTGGTGTCACCTGTTAGAGTGACGATGGGGCGTTCAGGTGGCTGTGCCTATTAGCAGGTAGTTAAAGACGTGGGGCTAAGCCCAGGAGTGCAAAGTGGACATTTGTATTTGAGGAGCACATGAATGGGAGTGACTGTTGGCACATTGGTAGCAAATAAGTCTAAGGGAAGCGCTTTTTTAGGGAGTATACTCAGGGTCTCTGCTTTGACTGAGTCGGCCTTGGTGTATCGAAGCAGCACAGGGAAGTGGGCCCAGCTGTGGGGAGGGGGAAAAACCAGGACGGGCATTTGGTAAAGACGCAGAGGCAGAGAGCAGTGTCCACATTTAAAGGATTTGTTGAAGTGGGATGGCAGCTGGGGGCTGGCTGTTTCAAGTGAAGGTGATTTTGCAAGATGAAAGTTTCCATGAGGAGATCATAGTTGTTGCAGAGAAATCAGAATGAGGAGATTAGTGTACAGAGCAAGACCTGTTCGGCCTCCAGCTTCTCCATCTGCTGAGAGGGGTGATCATAGGAGTTGCAGGCACCAGATTGGACCACACAGGGCCTGTAGAAGAGTTCCTGGCAGTTTGCTGTGCTGCCACTTTTCTTATTACTGGAAACTGTGTTTATTATAAAATTAACCAGACTAGAGATGGCCAAAGATGTCTTAACCTGTTTACTGGGCTGTTTTCAGGTTAACTGGTTCTGTAAAATAAGTGTTTGCCAAACCCAGCTTTCCTTGTGAGGAACACCTAAGGCAAATCCTTGTCAGTCTGAGAAGGGAGTATTTTTCTTTCCACTGCAAATTTATCTGAAACCAAATAGGTTAATTGTCTTCCTACTGGATAACGACTATAGTTTCCTGCATTTATTAGGAATGTTACAAGACAAACGAATGGAGATAGATAAACATAACCTAAATATTGGTGATTACAATCGAGTGGTCGGGAAAGGCCCTGGTTCTCGGCCTCAGATTTCCAAAGAGTCTTCCATGGAACGCAGTCCTTATTTTGATAAGGTAGGTTGTTTGTTTATTTTACCCTTTGGCTAATAAGCCAATATACTTAATAGCATAATTTTCCCATTAATGATTTAGAACATTTAATGTAATATGAGGTGTTCTGATCCAGTGCCAACTCCTCTCACTGGATTTATAGTTCATTGTCCTTTCTGTGTCTTAGTGTATCATAGGGATTGCATTTGTATTTTCTTCTTAATCCCATGAAATGTGTTTGGTTCTTTTTATGTGCTCTAGAATTAACACTAATCTGATCTCTTCTGTTTTCTGCCTGTTTCCTGTTGATGCTGGAATGTCATGTGACTTCTCTTCTGTTCCTGCAATGATTTCTCCCTTCCACTTGTTTGCTTGGCTGGTGTTGCGCATCTTTCTGTCTGTCCCATCAGGATGGCATTGTAGCAGATGAATCCCAAAACTTGCAGTTTATGTCCAGTCAGAGCCTGAAGCTTCCCCCTTCAAATAGTGCACTACCTAACCAGGCCCTCGGCTCCATAGCAGGGCTGGGTATGCAAAACTTGAATTCTGTTAGACAGGTAAGTCCACGTGTGTATTTTAGGCTCTCTGTTGAATGATTTGTAGAAGCAATAAGCTCTTTCTTTTGTGTAGTTACTGTGTTTAAATCAGTAGTACGGTGTGGTAATGAGCTGTGGGCCCTGAAGAGCACTGGCTGTTTGTTTTGTAGAATGGCAATCCCAGTATGTTTGGTGTTGGAAACACAGCAGCACAACCCCGGGGCCTGCAGCAGCCTCCAGCACAACCTCTCAGCTCATCTCAGCCTAATCTCCGTGCTCAAGTGCCTCCTCCATTACTTTCCCCTCAGGTTAATCAATTTCCATGATACTCCTTTCTGTTTACCTGGAGAAGAACCTTGAATAATTTTATATTTAAATGAGGTGACCGATTGGTTGTCATAATTTTTATTGGCGTCTTTGAAATGCAACTAATTCAGAATTAGCTGTTACCACAAAAGGATCAGGGAGGGCAAAGAATATGAGTGAAAGGTAATGTGAATCCACCACCGTCGTCCATGTACATCTGAAGGAAACAGTGACAGGGCACATGCTGGTTTAAAAGTCATCTCTCGTCGTTTACTTAACCCATGAAGGTATATGTGAACAGTAAATTAGTAAAGCAAACAAAACAGAAGTTACATAACCCCCCAATAGTCCACAAATTCAATTGCCCTATTAATAATTTAAAATACACAGTACCTGTAGCTAGTCTCTGTTATTTTATCCCATTATTAACTTACCATTGTGATCCTTAGGTTCCAGTTTCATTGCTGAAGTATGCACCAAACAACGGTGGCCTGAATCCGCTCTTTGGCCCTCAACAGGTAGCCATGCTGAACCAGCTCTCCCAACTCAACCAGCTTTCTCAGATCTCCCAGTTACAGGTACGTGGAGTAATTGCTTCCTTCACTGTACATGCAGTGAGTGCCCCCTGTGTGCTAGACTCTGCAGGAAGTTTTGCAGTAAGCACACCAGGCAGTCGTGATCCTCATGGAGCTTCCAGTCTGTCAGTGATAAAGATGGGGAACCCAAAGGCAGGATGCTCTGAGAGCAAGCCCAGAGAGTCTGGGGTGGCGATGGGATAGGACGACCAGGAAAAATTTCTCTACTGAAGTGAGAGTTTAGGTGGAATGGAAGCCTGAATTCAGCAGACCAGCTGGAGGCCAGAGTCCAGGAAGAGACTGTATTAGGTTAGGCAGGAGATGCTGGCTTTGAGCAGATGAAGCTGTGCCTCGTAGGTCCACCTGCAGTCACCCTGAAGCTTGCTGGCTGCGATGCGTGACACTGACTCTGCACTCTCCCTGCAGCGGTTGATAGCACAGCAGCAGAGGACGCAGAGTCAGAGAAGCGTGCCTTCTGGGAGCCGGCAGCAGCAAGACCAGCAGGTAGGTCAGAGCCCTCCTCACTGTGCAGACACGCACCTCATGTCACCTCCATTTTTGCGACACTTGAAACACCTTCGTGAAAATATCATAAATAAATCTGTTGTTTATTAAGTCCTCAGTTTGCCCAGAGTTGTACCAGCTGGTACATGGTGACTGTTCTTCCTGATGGGGGGGTTGTGAATGAAAAAATGAAGAGGAATCTGTGAGTACCTGAAAAGGCTTTCCTCCAGTTTTCCCCAATCATTTTGTCATTTTTAGGGTCGACCTCTTAGTGTGCAGCAGCAAATGATGCAACAGTCTCGTCAACTTGACCCCAACCTGTTGGTGAAGCAGCAGACGCCGCCATCTCAGCAGCAGTCCCTCCATCAGCCAGCCATGAAATCTTTCCTTGAGAATGTCATGCCCCACACTACACCTGAGCTGCAAAAAGGGCCATCACCAATAAATGCTTTCAGCAACTTCCCTATAGGTGGGTTTCTCCTCGACCAAACAGCCAGCCGATGCCTGGGAATCTCTCTGACCTGGCAGGGCGGCTCCCTCGCGAAAGCAACACTGGTCCTTTAGCTGTCCCTCTTCTGGTGGTAGCCTGTCCTCATGCTTCATGGAACATGCTTCAAGCTCTCTGTTCAAGAAAACCGTGCTGTTTCAAAAATCCCACACTTGTATTTCAGTGGGTCAGAATAAAGATAATATTTCTTTTAAGGCCCAGGTATCTTAATTGTAGGATGTGAAGGGGAGGGGGGAGGGCCAGTTATTGTTACTAAAAACAGTGCACCAGGGAGATTCTGAGCATTGCTGTCTTCAGAACCTGGGCATTGATTACTGTCTGAATATTCATAAATGATCACTGGGATACATGTAGAAAACGGAGGCGGGCGAAGGGATTGCTTTTGTCACGTTTGCTACAGCTTCCCCTCCCCCTCGCTGTGTCTCCAGGCCTTTACTCCCTCTGGAAACTTCAGGCTTGTTCGTGTTCCCTTCCTTGGGTCCCTTTTCTCCTTGTGCCTTTGATTCTATTTTGACCCTTGTTCCCTTCCTACTAATGTTGGTTTTTCTTTCTCTTTCCCTTAAAATGGTTTCTTGTAAGGCAGCTTTCTTGGTTGCTAGCCCTGCTAGTCCAGCTGTGTTGAAGACGGTTCGTTAACCCGGCACGTTCTGGGCTGTGGGCGTGGGTGGGGCCTGCTCTGGCCGCTCCTTCACTTCTGCTGAGCTGGTACATGATTGGCTCTCCCTGGTACTGCCACGGACTCTCAGCTGGGACCTAAATTACACTTTGAGTCCTTGGGACTGCTCACTGTCTCTTTACATTCCCAGATGCATTTTCCTTGTCAGTTGCCGCTGCAGGTGGTGACCGGGTGACCCCCGAGACAGTAGCATAGGTAGTGGCAGTAAAAGAGTGCCCACTGACATGGAGAGGCTTGGGCCTGTGCAGTGAAGGGAGTTGATTCGCTGCTTGACTGCATACTTGACGTGTATATTGGGCCAGGGAGGAGCGCATTCTTTATATCTGGGTTTCCTGTCCAGGCTGGCTTTACAGCAAGAGAGACCTTTGCCCGATTAAAAATGTCTGCTTAACCTGTGCAAACTTACCAGGCATGGAAAACCACAGCCTGTTGCCCAGATTTGGCCAGCTGCCTGATTTTGTAAATAAAGTTTTATTGGAACATAGCCCTGATCTTTTGTTAATGTATTTTCTGTAGCTACTTTTGTGCTGTAGCAACAGAGTCCTATAGAAACACAGACCTTGTGGCCCACAGAGCCTGAGATATTTACTCTTTGAACCACTAAAGAATTTGCTGGTGGTTGGGTGTAACTGATGGGTCCAGAGAGCAGCAACTGTAGTCGCTCTCTTCAAAAACAGGTGTGATAGTAGAGAATTTGTATTATTAAAGCCCTTAAGTCTGACTGACCTAGTATCCTGTGGGCTGTCATCAGACCAAAGTATTTAAAACCATTTGTTTTGAGACTTTAGGATAAAAACCAGCTGGATGTGTGTGAAATACTCTGGCTTCGTTTTTAAAAGCATCTCAGATGATTCTGATGCTGACTGCCCCCGGGTCACATTTTAAGAAACACTGGGGGAAGAGGTCCATCTTCTGACCCCAGGACTGAAGATAGGCATTTCTGTCCTTGTTTCATGAGAGTATCTGACTCTGACATGTCATTGTCAATGCTGGAGTATGGGGGTGTAGGCACCTTAGGGAGTGGGGCTGGCCCTGTGTTACAGTTGTTAGTGCAGGACGGTTTTACTTTTGAATGGCAATCTTCGGCTGGTCAGCCAGCTGAAAATTGTTCAGTTTGCAAGCCAAAGATAGCAACTGGAAGTGATCATACATAGTTCTTTACATGTGGCACTCTTGGGAAGTAGCTAGAGAGGGCTTTTTAGAGGGAAACCTAGAAATTTTAGTATTTGGCCTTCTTAATTTTTTTCTCTTATTTTGCCAAGGGATTAAGAAATAATCAAAATTTTGTGGATAGTGCAGTTTTATGGTAGTAAGTTTTGTGGTTTGAGAACATACTGTTGAGTATAGGTAGCTGATCAGGATTCTGTGTTGTGCTCTCTGGTAACCTTGCTGTGGGTCTTCTCCCCACACTGTTTCCTCCTGACCTTGGCCGGGGCGGAGCGTCTGCTCCACCTGCCCGGCCTCTGTGGTCATTTGGCTGTGCCACATTTGCAGGATTGTCTTTATTAAGGAATTTAGGCAGGATTGGAAACGTTAGACTAGTTACTTAGTTTTTCTAGGAAGTGGAAGTTGTACCAGAAGAACAACATACTGTATTTTATAAGGTTTTTTTTAACTGCTATTTTCTTTTTAAGGCTTGAACTCAAACTTGAATGTAAATATGGACATGAACAGTATTAAAGAGCCACAGTCAAGACTAAGGAAGTGGACAACAGTGGACAGCATTTCTGTGAACACATCTTTGGATCAAAACTCCAGCAAACATGGTATAAAATGCACTCTTACCTTAAAAACACACACCTGTGGAATACTAACTTTAGGCTTTTATATTTTAAACAGCCAAATTCTCACAGAGCCTTTCCTCAGTTTTAAAAGTGCTTTGTTAGTAAATCTTAGTCAAAACAAAAAAAGGAGAATTAACCTTTATTATGTTATTATACAAAAGAGAGATTAGATTATACTTTTAAAAAAAAAATTATTTCCTCTTTGATGGTCTTTTAGGTTTTTGCAATTGATTTTGTTGTTCTGATGTTTTGCTTGTTAACATTTGCATGATTTAATGTGATGTAGGGTATTAAACACTTCCACCATAATTTGATTTCTACCAGTTTTTATATATTGACACATTTTCTTTATATAGTTTGTTGATAGTTGCAAATCACATAGATTATTTTTTTCACCAGTTACATTTTTAAAATGTCATTTTCATCTTATTTAATATTATCCATTCATCTAGCCACTGTTAATGGAGCATCTTCTGCTTTCCCAGGACTGTTCTCAGTGCCTGGACTGCATAGATACATATGTGCATACACACGGTTGAGTGTATGCAAGCAAGTGAAAAAGTCGATACGTGTAATAATGCAAATAGCACAGTGGCAGGGAGCCCAGGGAGGGTTGAGTAGGGAAAGACGGCGGCGAACAGAGGCTGCGGACTCACCAGGCGAGTGTGAGAGGGCAGGAGAGAGTAGCACTTGAAAAGGCGACAGACGGCAGCCTGACGGGCACATCGGGCAGCGAAGGTCAGTGAGAGAAGGAAGGTGAAGTGAACTAACAGTGGGCATAGAACAAGTGATGGGTGGAGAACTTTTATGTCACAGGTCATTTTAAACATGAAAACGGTGGCTGTCCAAAGGCAGGAAAGACGTAGAGAGGTCTAAGAGAGGAAGGGGCGCTGGAACCTAGGGAGTGCCTCACGGAAAGTGTTAGGTGTCAGGGCTGACTGCTCCTGCACACGGCGTGCATGCCTCTAGCCCTACAGGTTAGCCCTGGGCCTTCAAGACTCAGCTCAGAAGTCATTTTCTGGAAGCCGCCTCCAGGCTCCGCTCTTCATAGGTCTCTCTCTGTGTAAATGTCTGTTGCTGCCTGTCTCCTTCACAGGACACCAGCTCCTGGAGAAGGGTGCTCAGGCTCTGCTTATGCTTAGCCCTGCTGAGCACAGCGCAGCTCCCGGTGAACATCTGCTGGGTGAGGATGGGTGGGTGTAGTGCAGGAAGGGAAGCAGGCTTGGCACAACAGTTAATGACTTGATGTTAGCTGTGCTGAGTGTGGTATTTGGGCCTGGCTCAGTGTGGAAACGCCCCATAAGAAATGAGAAGTAGCGGCCTAGTACGCAGAAGGAACATCTGGGCTAGAATAAGATTTGGTGTTCATCAGAATACCGAGGTCATGGCACGGGTGAGGTGGCCCAGAAGAAGGGAGCATGGAGGAAAGAGCTAGGACAGACTTAGAGCTGCTGGCAGTGCAGAGACCTGAGGAATAGTGGCTGGCCATGTAGGGCAATAGACCAGAAACGTGCTTCCCATACGGCTTTCTGTCTTCTAGGGTACGGTACATTTTCCATGTCTGTTTTGCATACCTGAGCTTCAGCTTTGTAAAAATGAAGTAATCCCTTCCTTTAACTACTGTTGTAGGTGGTGTGTATCGTGTACCGCTGACCCTTGAACAGCATGGGTTGGGGCACTGACCCTCGTGCAGTCAGAAACCCACCTATCACTTTTGACTCCATAAAAACTTTACTAATAGGCTACTGCTGCCACCTTACCCATAACCCAGTTGATTAACACATATTTTATATGTTCCATGTATTATGTACTGTATTCTTACAAAGAAGTCAGCTAGAGAAAATAAAATGTTGTTAATAAAGTCATAAGGAAGCGAAAATACATGTTACAGTATTTATTGGGGAAATAAATAAGTGGACTCACACAGTTAAAGCCCGTGTAACATTGCTCCAGGGTCTCTGGTGTACTCATGTGCTCAGTACTCGTAGCAGGGTCAGCCTTCGCTCTGCTGCTGGTTCACTGCTGCCTCAGGAGGTGCCTGCCTCTGGCACTCTGCTCTTCCTCCTGTGAACACCCAGCTCTGTGTGCTTAGGTGAACCTGCTGCAGAAAATCTGCATTTCTCCAGTGCGTTTCCCTTCGGGGGTCAATGGAACATAGTAGGGCTGTAACTGTCTTTATGCCAAGCCTATTCTCTTTTTAAATACAATGAAGTTTTAAGAAGTAGAAATGGTTTGTTACTGAAAAGAGTACTTTTATCATCTCAGGTTCCTATGTAAGAATTAATTAAAATTTGGCAACTATTCTTGCTTACTGTATTACTTGCAACTACTACGTCATTTATATCCCACTTCACCCCCAAGTGGCTTTAATTCTGTTTACAAAGAAGATACATGGTTCATACAAATAAAAGTAGTTAGATGAGGCCCTAGCCGGTGTGTTCATTGGTTAAAGCATTGGCCCACCAAAGGGTCACAGGTTCGCTTTCCGGTCAAGGACATGTACCTGGGTTGCAGGTTCAATCCCTGGCCCCAGTGGGGGGCGTGTGCAGGAGGCAACCAATTGATGTGTCTCTCGCACATCGATGTTTCCCTCCCTCTCTCCCTCTCTCTGAAAACCAATGGAAAAAATATTCTCTGTTGAGGATTAACCAGAAGAAAAAGGAAGCTAGATGAGGAAGCCAGAGAAGAAGGGAAAGGGAATTGGTGGAATGACTGCATCAGGTCAGGCAGGTCAGTGCCCTGGCCAGTGGCGTTGACGTCCTGCTCTGCCACCCCCGAGTGACAGACGGGAGTTTGGAGGTTGCATCCTGCCTCTGAGGGAACTGTGTTTCACCGGAAGCTAGAGCTAGAGCAGCCTCGAGTTCATGAACCAGAGCTTTTCCCACCGATGGAGACTTGAGAGTGGTTGACCAGGTCCCGGTTCTCCTCCTCACCTCGCTCCTCCTGGAATGAATTGTGCCTCCTTCCATCATGTTACTAAAGCTGGAGACATCACCCTCACGCAGGACTCTAGGACCCAGCAAGGGGGACTTCACATGGGAAAAGTTGAAAAGAAGCGATATGTGGGCTTGAGACCACCTGGCTGCGTTGTGGAAACTGGAAGGCAGTGAGCACGGGAGTGGGCAGCCTCAGAAGGCGGGGGGTGTGAAACACGGACGCATGCGCCACGCATTGGGAAGTGGGAGGGGTTCCACACTCATTCTGTAGCAGGTATCTTTCTAATAAAGGGTTATTGAGATAATTTATATATAATACAACATTTTTTTAAAGTGCATGATTCAGTGGCTTTCAGTATATTCTCAGAGTTATGTATCCATCACCACAGTCAATTTTTGAACATTTTCTTGACCCCAGAAGAGCCCTAAGATGTCACTCCTCCCACCTCTCCCACGTGAGTAAAGCTCACCTTTCTGTGTCGGTAGGTTTTCCTGTCCTAGACATTTGATGTAGGACATCAGGTTCTGTGTGGCCTTTGTACGCAGCATTGGGCTAGCTCAGTGTTGTCCAGGCTCGCTCAGCAGCATGCAGAGTGCTGCGTTCCTTCCTCCTTCCTCCAGCCCCTGGAGGCTGTGTGGGCCTGGGAGATATTCCCGAGTTCTTCCTGGCTCCCACCTGCACCCCAGCCCACTGTGACAAGCCCCTCCCACTTCCCAGTGCATGGCGCATGCATCCGTGTGTTTCACTCTCCCTGCCTTCTGAGGCCTGCCTGCCCCCATGCTCATTGCCTTCCAGTATTCACAACACAGCCAGGTGGTGTCAAAGCCCACATACCGCTTCTCTTCAAACCTTCCCATGTGAAGTCCCCCTTGCTTGGTCCTAGAGTCCTACATGAGGGGCTGGGGTCGGTGCCTCCTAGGAATAGGCCAAGCATTTAAGCGGCGTGCTCGGTCCTCCCCCCCTCGGGAGCAGGCCCTCCTTCCTCCTGTTCACAGCATGGCCTTCCAGCTCAGACTGCTGAGCCGTTCTCTCCCAGGCCTTTGGAGGCTGTACTGCACCTAGAGTCCCACCCCAACCCTTTGCGTGAGGGCTCAGCCCTCCTTGCCTCATGCTCTGTCCCTTCCGTTGCTGTCCATTTAGTCACCGTTTTGTTAGACTGTACCTTTATGAGGGGAAGGACCCCATTCACCTCACTCACTCTATGTCCAGCATTTGACACAGCAGTTGGTCTGTCCCCATGAGAAAATGCTGTGTGTTCCACTGTGTAAAGCATTGGTCGTCCTAAGGTGTGCTCAGAGGTGAGTGTGGAGAATCAGTCTCAGCACAGATGGTCTTTCCTAAGTGTAAGCTGTTTGTGGATGGGATTCCACACTCATTCTGTAGCAGGTGTCTTTACTAATACTGGGTTCCCACAGGCGGAGCATAGGGTGGATTGCAAGTGTCCTAGAGGGAAAGATCTTTGTCTCCTTGCCTGCACGTTACCTTGTGGGCATAGCCATTTCTTGGGTCCCAGGCACCGCTCTTACCACTTGGGATGCTCTGGGCCACAGCGCTTCCTTCCTTCAGTGCCCCTCCCTCACCCCGGTGTGAATCCCACGAAGGGTGCCCTGTGCTTGTTCTCAGTGTGGGCCACAGCTCCGGGCTCTTCACAGTTTGGAAATAATTTTGTACTCGTATCCGGTCACTTACCTCCCCCTTGAAATGAAGTGAACAGTGATGGTGTCAGCTCTCGGCTGTAGGAGGGCCAAGGGGGTGAAGGGCTGCAGGAGAGAGCAGGGCTTGCTCTGCGCATCTGCACTCTCCCTCAGGGTGCAGGACAGACCTTGATCACATACTTTGCTCCCATCTCATGGTCATTTTCCTCCTTTTAGGTGCTATTTCAAGTGGTTTCAGGCTGGAAGAGTCTCCGTTTGTTCCCTATGACTTCATGAACAGCAGTACTTCGCCAGCCAGTCCTCCAGGTTCAGTGGGAGACGGCTGGCCACGTGCCAAATCGCCCAGCGGCTCTAGCAGTGTTAATTGGCCACCAGGTAGGATGCTGGCAGCTTCCATCATGACTTAGTAGTGATTGAGCCCAGTTCTCTCTGGGTGGAATGACTGCTCAGGATACGAGGGAATGCAGGGGACCATGAAGTCAGCGTCAAGCCTGCCCTGCTTCCGGTGCCGCTGTGCTCCGAGCAGTCGTAGTGGGACTGCCCCCTGCCAGGGAAGCTCCTGGGCAGTGTCTCTGTCTCTGCGGATTAGAAGTGCACCGTGGCCAGCATTGTGCCCTCGAGTCACTGTGGTTTGTGCCTTGTCATAAAACACAACAGGTTACTGTTTAAAGTGGGTAAGCCCAGCACTGATTTCTGTTGTGAAAACTTGCGAGGTATTCATAGATAACAGTTTACATTATACTTGTTTTATTACTGAATTGAAATACTTGAGAAATGTGTAGGCTTTAGGAGTAAAAGTTTTACACATTTAGTAATGGGTTTTAAAGCCGTGATTAAGCCTGAACTAATTTAAGGTTTTCTTTTCCAGAATTTCGCCCTGGTGAGCCATGGAAAGGCTATCCAAACATTGACCCAGAAACTGACCCTTACGTCACTCCTGGCAGTGTCATAAACAATCTCTCAATTAATACTGTGCGGGAAGTTGACCACCTCAGGGACAGGAACAGTGGTAAGTGGACAGGCACACTCCACTTCTGGGCCGCCTGGGATCAGAAAGGCTCAAAGTAGGTGTGAGACCTGCAGCAGCAAAGTGACCCAGCACATCCCAGCACCTGACCCCAGGGAAACAAGTGTCAGTTTAGGATTTATTATCACTTGATGTGGTAAACACACATGTTATCTTACATTAATAAAGTTAACAAAGGACCAACAACTATTTGCGTTCCAGTAATTGTATTAGCAACTGCAGGTTGCCTACTTTATAATATTGTGGTTATTAAGAAGTGGGTGCTTTTTGTTAAAGATGTTTTATTATTATTTCATACACGCTGGATATTAAAGGACTTTCATATGGAGAAGCAATTTGGCTCTCTCTGTCTCTCAGAGTGGAAGCCATACCAATTTTAAGGTCCCTGTAGTCCAGATGCACTTTCTAGTGGGTTATCAAACAAAGTCACCCTGCGCCCTACCACGTGGTTCTTTTTCACTGCAGCATTCACAGCTGTTCCGTGGGCGCACTGGAAGGAAGGAGAGTATCTTCCGTGCCTGTAACATCTGTCCTTCCACCTATCCCTTTAAACAGTTTATAATAAAGCAAGTGTACTCCAGGTGCATCTTACATTAAACACATAACTGGTGAGCAGGTGTTCGCCACATCACAGTGCTGAAAAAGAGCTGTCCCAGCATGCTTGGGTTTCGCAGGCAGCCATGCAAAAATAGGCGAAGCCACTGCCTTCATAGCAAGGAGGAGGCCAGAGCTACGCAGGGTGCTCGTGTCCTGGTGGTTCCTGAAAGGTGGAACTCGCAGAGGTGGGGCTTCTTGTCTGTGGAGGATTCTGAAAGTCAGGAGAGGGATTTAGGTTGGATAGTAAGAGAAACAGTCCACTGGGGTTTTGAGTGGAAAAGTCGACGTTTGCACCCTGACAGTGGTGAACAGGCGGGTTGAGTGGGGGGCAGTCGGATAATGGAGCTAAACTGGAGGAAATGAGCGCGGGCTGGGTTTTGGAAACTGACTATGGGGCATGGTGGAGGAGAGAAAGGCCTGGCTCGCGGTAGTGCCCGGTGCCTTGGTGACCTGTCCAGTAAGAAGTCACTGGGGTTTGAAGGCAGGAGTGGGAGCAGGAAGAACTAGTCCTGTTTCCGGATCCCAGTCCCGGGGCAGAGCCAGGGGAGTGTCGGCCGTGCTCCCTGTGGGCGCGTGTTCTCGCCGACGCTGTGAGAGCCTCAGCGAGGGGCAAGTGTCTCTGTGCCCTGGAGGGAGAGGCGGTGAGCCACGCTCAGCAGGCTGTTCTGCCAGCGAGAAGGAAGGTGCAGCCTGGGCTCCAGCAGGGCCCGCGCGTGCCCATTCCTCTCCCGTGGCGACTGCGCCGCCGCCGTTGGACTGGGCACTTCTGCTCACCCAATAGGGCACCCCTCGCTCTGGGGGTGACTGGCCGGCTCTCCCCCCAGGGTCGTCCTCCTCCTCGAACACCACGCTGCCTTCAACTAGTGCCTGGTCCTCCATTCGTGCCTCCAACTACAGCGTTCCCCTCAGCAGCACAGCACAAAGCACTTCAGGTGAGCCCGGGACTGGGTGCTCGGGGGGTCCCTCTTTGCACACGGTCGGCTCCACTGCGGGTGCTCTCCGGGAGCCTGGTCCCCGCACCTCCTCACCGAGGCAGCGCGGCAGGGGCGGGGCTTTCTCTTTTTTAAAGCCAGACAGGCCTAGGTTTGAACCCTGGCTCCCCATTGGACCTGTAAGCAAGTGCCTCACCCCTGACTCTCAGCGTGTCGGGATTAGGGAGTAGGTGCCAGGTGCCCTTGGCACAGAGAGGTGCCTAGTGATACCTGCTGTGACGGCTGCGGGAGGGGGTCTGCCTTTGTGGTCCTCTTTCCATGAGTAAACAACAGAATTCTAGAATCTACATGCTGGCCTCTGGCACTCTTGAGAAACCCCCCTCTGCGTTTAGAGCAGTGTTTTTGCCTCGTTTTCATCTCAGTTAAGTGTACCCTGTGCGTGGGACTGACAGCCAGCTCAGCGGCCTCAGCGCTGCGTGGGCGAGGGTCGGGGGCTCGGAGGGGAAGGAGCACATTCCTTTTGGCCCCTTGTTTTCTTTGGCAGTTTGGTTTTATTTAGGGGCTTTTAATGGAGTCTAGTTTTATTTGTCTGACTTGGTTTCAGTGGGAGAGGGGCATTATCATTATTTAAAGTTTCTCTTTTCTAAAAGCATCATCTCCCCTCCCACTTCTTTTCCCTTTGAGTAGCCAGAAATAGTGATTCCAAATTGACGTGGTCTCCGGGGTCAGTCACCAACACCTCTCTGGCCCATGAGCTGTGGAAGGTCCCTTTGCCACCTAAAAACATCACTGCTCCGTCCCGCCCGCCTCCGGGGCTCACTGGTCAGAAGCCACCCTTGTCTACGTGGGATAATTCCCCCCTTCGTGCAGGTGGAGGATGGGGAAATTCTGACGCCAGGTATACCCCAGGTAAGACGAGGTGCTGGGCTCTGGCTGGCGTGCAGTCGGGCGTTGCAGCCTCAGCAGGACCCCCTCTGAAGCAGGACTTGCTGAGATAACCGTGCTGCGCCCCCTGCACGGCTGTCTCGGTCTCCGTGGCTGCGAGTCCTACGTCTTACTTTCATTTTGCCCGGTTCCCCTAAGGACACTTAGCTGAGACACTCAGCTGTCAGCGGTGAGTGAGTGGAACAGGGGCTCCTTCTTTAAGATGTTCCTGGGGTGCCCCTCTTAAAAAGTGTAGTAACTTCCAGCTCAAGGCAGGCCTTCTGAGCAGCCCGTGGCGCACAGAGCAGACGCTGCAGCGTGGCGTGGCCTGGAGGAGCGGGGCCGGTTTCAGGGGTGATCATAAAATGTAGTGTTCAGGCAGAGACCTTTGAGAGGGATGGGGTGCTGCTGGTCATGCAGGGCCAGCAGGCATACAGCAGACTCTCTCAGAAAATGGAACAAATGGCCCCCCTGCCTCCACTCCCGTAAATGACTGGCACTGGGCTGCCCGCCGCCCGCCACAGCCCAGCTTTGACTCGGAGCTCTCTCCCAGCTCTCCCAGTACCTGCGGCCTTACCCTTCATATGCTCTGCCCCGAACTGTACTAGACTTTGTCATCTCCAGGCTGAAAATGGTAACATCTCATTAACAATTTCTGATCTGTAGACAGGTGATCAGCTAAAATAAAACTTAGTGTTTCCTTTTGATTACATGAAAAGAGTACTTGAGTCTGTTTTAAGCTACTAAATGCAAATTAATGAAATGGGTGTTATGTGTAAGTCACTCTTTCAGGCCCCAGTCTCGGGAAACTGACTTGTCGTCTTCCTTCCTTGTTTAGGGTCCAGCTGGGGTGAGAGCAGCTCAGGGAGAGTAACAAACTGGCTCGTTCTGAAAAACCTCACACCTCAGGTAAGAGCTCGGGCTGTCGGTCCCATCCCAGGCTGGCTGCAACCAGAGTACAGGTTCTCCAGCCTCAGCCCCGGGGCCAGGATTGGGGCTCTGTGTTTCACTGGGCATTCAGATGAGCCTGGTGCAGGTGGTCCCTGCAGGGCACTCGGAGAAGCCCTGGTCTGCCCGTGCAGTTAGGACATTTCCTTTGTCCCTGGACCACCCCTCCTCGGGAGGCTGGATGTTAAGAGCACACCTCTCCTCCCAGGGAGCAGTGCCTTGGTGGGTCCTGTGCTCCGGGCAGGGAAAGAGAAGACTTGAAGCCCCAGCAGGGCAGGCTAACTAAGGAATTGGGGACCTGGGGATGTCCAGGAGCCTAGCAGCCAGTGGAGGTAGGAGGGGGCCCTGCACCCTGTCCCAGCAGTGAGTCCCAGTGAAGATTGGCACCAGGATGGAAGCCTCTCAGGCTCACGCGAGAGAGAGAGAGGAGGAGAGTCCGCCCTGGGCGGCTTCCCCAGGGTCCTCATGCAGCACAGCTCATTGGCCGCTCCCACTGTCTCTAGATTGACGGCTCGACCCTGCGCACCCTGTGCATGCAGCACGGCCCCCTGATAACATTCCACCTGAACCTCCCGCACGGAAACGCGTTGGTCCGCTACAGTTCAAAGGAAGAGGTAGTGAAGGCACAGAAGTCTCTGCACATGTAAGTCGGCTGCTCTGTCACCCCCGGGAGAGCTAGGGTGGGAGAGCACCCCCTCCGGCAGCGAGGTCCGAAGGAAGGGTTAGGCACTTCCCCGGCTGCGGCCTCTGCCTGCGCTTCACAGTTGCTCCTCGGAAAGGGAAACAGTGCCCTGGTCAGGTGGCCCCAGAAAATCCCCTGAATTGTCCGGAGGGGACAGAACGACGGAGTGAAGGCACCGCTGGCCTGTGGGGGGTTTGCAGGAACATGCTCGTGGTGGGGAGGGTGTACTAGGTCCTCGTGTGTTCTGGACACGCCGGCATCCCCCTCCGTCGATGAGTCCTCACCGCGCCTTCTCTCCCCAGGTGTGTACTGGGGAACACTACTATTCTCGCTGAGTTTGCCAGTGAAGAGGAGATCAGTCGTTTCTTTGCACAAAGTCAGTCTCTGACCCCTTCTCCCGGCTGGCAGTCCCTCGGGTCCAGCCAGAGCCGGCTGGGCTCCCTGGACTGTTCCCACTCCTTCAGCCGGACTGACCTCAGCCACTGGAACGGTGCTGGGCTGGCGGGAACTAACTGTGGAGACCTGCATGGCACTTCCCTCTGGGGGACCCCACACTATTCCACAAGCCTGTGGGGTCCTCCGAGCAGCAGTGACCCCCGAGGAATGAGCAGCCCATCCCCCATTAATGCTTTTCTTTCTGTTGACCACCTGGGTGGGGGTGGAGAGTCCCTGTGACAGGTAGAGGCAGCCTCGTGACCGTGACCTCAAGATGCGAAGGAAAGGGGCACCGAGTCGAGCTCGCCGCCTGCCGCCGGGCACCTGTGGGAACAGCTCTCCTCTGCACATTTTCTACTTTGTTTCCCCGAAACATATCAGTTTGAATACTTGAATCATGCAGGCCAACGTGATAATGTGAAGGTGTCTCTCGTTACACTCCCACTGGCGCCGTACGTGCTGACCGCGTCCCGGGCTCCCTTGTGCGTATTCATCATGTTTAGCCTTTGGGTTTTTTCCTATTCCCGCACCCCTACCCTCCCCCCCTTTCTTCCCTGCAAAACCATTGTTTGGGCTGATGATGTATGAGCTTTTACCTTTGCACTGAATGATGTTCTCCGTCTAATGGGCAATATGGGGGGCAGCTGTTCCGGTGTCGTGTTTACTCAAGGAAGTTCTAAGGTGCGCGCTCTACTCTGCCTTGATGTCCGCCCACCTTACTGTGGTGTCGTGGAGTTTGAGATCACGTGATGATGCTGACTTAGGACGATAAATGAAAGTATTGCACCCGTTTCTTCATGTTATAAAACTAAAGAATTTCGCTCTGCAGTTTGAAAAACTGTGGCCACAGCTGTGACTTGCAGCCCACCTGCCACCCAGGGCGGGCCCTGCACTTTGATAGGCTTTCCATTTTCTTTTGAAGGCTCCCACGTGGAACCTTCTTGTTTACAGATTTTTTTGTTTGTTTTTTGAGGAAAAAATGTTTACTCTTCCATCATTTAAAAAAAATTTAAAAAACAAAAAAAAAGGAGTCGGATGTAAAGATGCTTTCTATCTCTGGGAAAAGGAGCAGCATTTGGCCATGTTCTTTTGTTTTCTAACCCTGTCCTAAATCAAAGAGCATGGTTCTCAGGAAAACAAGTTCCCCAGTTAAAAAAAATCCTTGTAGTTTCTTATAGGAAAAAGGAACCCCCACGATTTAGCACTGATGCTATGTGTTGCTCTGTTAAAGAATTTTCTCTGCCAAAAAAAGAAAAACAAAAACAAAAAAACGCTTCAAGCTGGAGTTTGATGTTCTGCTTTCAGATGCTGTCTTTTTATTAGTGAGTGATGATGGTTTGCTGATAATCGGTAGGTAATAATTTTTGTAATTCCATCACGTGGCGCTCTGTCCTGCTGTTGTGACCGTGTTAATGTTCAGCGTTGTACCTTAAAGCCGAGACCAGTAACTATGCATCCTGTAAGCAAGCTGGGCTTACAGAGCCGTCCATTGTATAAAGAAAATTTTAAATGTTGTTGCAAACTAACGAGTTACACCATTTTTACAATTTCTTTCTCTCCCCCCTTGCCCACAAATGGTATTATATTGCTTGCTTAGTCGAAGGAGAGACTAAACAAGGGTAAAGATTTTAACACAGAGTTTGCCATCATTTCATTGCCTTGATCTAACTGTTTGTGTCCTACGATGCAAAAGAAGTCAGTGGCTTTTAACTGTTTACAAATAGAATGTGATTGTAAAATGTACAGTTTGGTTGTGTTTAATTATGAAATTTCTTCAGATATAATAAACCATGACTTTTTGGCTGCTCAACATTAATTGTCTCTTTTTTGTGAATTTATTTGTACGCTCTTTTTTATAATGAAAGTTTTCAAGTTGCCGTGTATGAGGGTTCTCATAGAGCAACTGATTAAAAATCTAAGCAAACATTGGAACATTTTACCTGAACTTCTCCATAGTCTCGCCCTGAAATAATGTGAGAACAATGGGAAACTGTAGCTCGCTCCTTCCTGCCCTCTGAGCATCTGTGGGACCGTGTTGCTCAGAGCTCCTGGGACTTCATCTTCCCCACCATTTGTGCCCATCTCAGGCCTCCGCAGAGACCGTTCGGAACATGAAGCGCACTGGCCTGACGGTCTGGTTCGGCGCTCACCTCTGTCACAGAACAGGAAGTGCGCCTGGACCGGCCTCCGGCGGACGGCTTCGTGTGACCACTCGCTCCGCTGGCCAGGTGTGAGCCGGTGTTCAGTGCACTCGATGTGGATTGACTTCCATACTGGTTTTTCCAAAAACCAAAGGTAGCTTTGAAAAACCACGTCTGGAAATGTTTGGAACGTTAAGCTGATTGACCTTTTGGGGCTTTGAGTAGTATATAATCGACTTCATAACTGCGTTAATTGTATTGTTCAAGTGTTTGGGAGTTTTTTGCGCTTGTTATGTGGAAATAAAGTGTTTGATTTAAAAAATTAACAAGTGGTTGATTTTTGCTTGGTCCTTAAATAATACAGCTCTATGCCCTGCCACTGTTTCACCGAAGTCGACCTTAATCCATCCCAACTGCCCCTGCCTGGTCCAGACTAAGTCTGACTGACAGTCCCAGGCCCAGTGGCTTCCTGACCGCCTGCAGGAGGCCGTCTGCCCGTCTGAAGGTCACTGCACGCCCAGTCTCACACGCATTTCCAAGGTAGCTTGCAGCAGGAACGTGGCTCCTGCTCCCCTGGGTGTGTGCTGGGCCCTGGCTCTGCTCCCTCGCCCAGCGGGTGGCCGACACCGCCTCACCCTCACAGGTGCACCCACTGCCCTCCCCGTCCTGTCCCGTGGAGGCACCTCCTCCCGTCACGGCTTGCTGCGTGTCCTGTCCCAGCATGATCTCCCGGTCCTGTGCCAGGCGACGAGCTCCTGTTCATTAGTGTGATACACGTGGTCAGACACGGTCATTGCTAAATAGGGGAAGGAATAAGCTGTTACCTGTCGGCATTTGAGGACCAAAGATTGTGGGAGTGTCTCTGTAACCGTTGGGGTGGATGAGGGGGCGGTCAGATACCGGGAAGGTAGCTAGGGCTTGAGGCACAGCAGGGACCTGTTTCCACCAAGACAAATGCACACGGGGTTGCACGGAGCAAGGTGGCTTCATGTCCCACTGAGGTCATTCCCATTGTTGGGACTTGACTTGTGTACCCTCTTCAGAGTTTAGGGGATCTTTCCCTGTGGATCCTTCAGACGTGAGCAGTGGGGTCACCGAGCAAGGGCCTAACCACAGCCCAGATGGAGCTGAGAGCCCCTCAGACCGGGGGTTGGCCCTGGTGGACGTCCTCTGAGCGGGTACTTGGGAAAGCACAGGGAAGAGGGTAGTAATGGGGTGCTGTGGTCGACGCACCCCTGCTTTGCACACGTGTCTCCCCTAACTCGGGACCCCAGCCTGGCCCAGGACAGGAGGCTGCCGCAGTGGAGCATTTCTCATATGGTGTGCCTCCCCTCGGGGTCTGGGGCAGAATTTTAAGCTTTGCATTTTAGGTTAAGACTGAGTATGTTGCATTCTGCTCTATCACATGTTTGCATCCAAAAGTAATGTTTGAAATAGCCAGTTACAAAGCCTGGTGCTGCACAGACATGAACTGTGAGAGCGCTCACGTCCCGAGGAGCAGAGATGACTCCAGCCCGGGGGCCAGAGTGGTCCCTGCTCGCTGACCCCCACCTGAGCCCCTGTCTGAGCCCCTGGGCACCAGGATGCCCTGCCCTGGCCGGCTGTCAGCCCAGTAGGTAGGGAGGCACCCCACCTGCCAGGAGAGCAGGACGTGGCTTTGGGTAACTGCATCTGCAGTCCAGCCATCCCAGGTCCTAAACAATCCCCAGGCCCTGTTACAGTCTTTCCCTATCACTGAACCACCTGGGCTTTCATTGAGTCCTTGGTTTTTAAAGTCAAATCAATTGCCCGGCCGGCATGGCTCAGCGGTTGAGCATCGACCTATGATCCATCCAGGAGATGGCAGTTCGATTCCCAGTCAGGGCACATGCCCTGGCTGCAGGCTCAATCCCCAGCAGGAGGCAGCTGATCAATGACTCATCATTGATGGTTCTATGTCGCTCTCTCCCTTCCTTCTCTGAGATCAATAAAGACATATTTTTTAAAAATTAAAAATAAAGTCAAATCAATTTATTGACAAAGGAAAGTTGAGGGCATACAGAAAAGCAGTGCCATTTGCCATAAACTTAAGGGATCTATAAAAGAAACAAAACCAAAAACTGCATTCGATTGCGGGAGGAGCCGTCTGGAAGTTGGAGGGGAGAGTAGACCCTGGCAGGGGTTGAGGCATGCCACCCGGGGGCCGCCACACGCGGCCGCTGAGAGGGAGAAGCTGTCTTCACGCGACTCGGTGTCTCCTGCTCCAGCTGGAAAGCCTGTCCGCCATCCCCTCCGGGCCTCCAGGACCCACACTTTAGAAACTGCTCCTCAGGAAAACTTGAGGTGCGCGCAGGGGGCCGAGGTCACCTCCCAACCATGTCCCGCTCAGTCCTGCTACGAGGCCCCAGCTCCGCATTCCACGAAGCTGCCTCTGACAGCAGCTCCGTCCTGTGACCACAGTGCCTGTGACCACTGACCACCACCCAAGGCCCCTGCGCAGTCGGGGTAAAGCCCAGGCGCCCTTGTGAGGAGGGGCGTCTGAGCAGACGCTCACGGGGAGCAACAGCTGGGCCTGGAGGCGGCAGTCCCAGGGTGTCTGTTACCCGGTGAGCCAGGGGACTGAAGGGGACGCCGGCCAGCGAGGGAGGTGGGGACAGTGACTGTCTGCTAGGATTGCCTGGGAGCTTCAAGAAAGTCCCCATGCTCAGGACGGGCCACAGAGTAAGTTCACTGGGCACCAGCATCTTTGAAAACCTGTGTTTTTTTATAGCACAAGTTATACAGCCTGCTGTCCCTTTGCCTCCCTGCTCTTGGTGTGACCCCTTACGTGAGGCAGAGCACACGTCCTCCCCCCTCTGCCCTGAGCCCTGGCTTGCAAAGGCTTCTGTACCCCGGGGGGAAACCAGCCCCCTCACCAATGCTGCCCCCCAGCTGTCTGCCCGAGGCTGCGGCCGGCCCGGCGCCCCCTTGCCCCCTGCAACACAGCTGCTGCCTCCGTCTCCTCTCGTGCTGCCACCTTGTCTTCCGGACAGTGGTTCTCAACAGGGGCGGTTTTGGTCCCTGTCCGGGGGACAGCTGGCAGTGCCTGGAGCGGGCGTGGCTGTTCCAGCGGGGGCGATGGTGGCTGCTCCCGGCATCTCATCTGTAGAGGCAGGGAGGCTGCTGGACTCCGACGCACAGGGCAGCCCCAGCAAAGGGCCGACCAGCTCCACGTGCCGACAGTGCGGGCCCGACCCTGTTCACAGCATCCGTCACGCAAGTGGGTCCGAGCACACCCCCTCCTGCCAGACCGCAGAGGGAGGGTCAGAGCAGGTCACCCCAGCCTCCAGCCCTTCAGGGGTTCCCGCCGCGCTCAGCGTAGCCCCACGCGCCTGTTTCCTGTGGCCTGTGAAGCCCCACTGACCTCTGACCTGGCCTGGATGGGCGCAGGGCCGGGTGGCCCCGTGAGGACACGAGCTGGGCCCGGGTCGGCCTCCCCAGCTGTACAGGAGGTGCAGCGAGTGCGCAGCCCTGACCCACAGTTCTGAAGCCCAAACAGCACGGAGAGCCAGAGGCTTTGGGCCAGCTTGTGGCAAACCCGGCTGGTGCAAACCTGACTTGAGGTTCTTCTCAAGCCTTATCCACAGTGTGAAAAGTCCCAGATCTCCCTGCGGCAGTGAGTGCGGCTGGTGGTGCGCAGTTGTCCGGGTCCCCGCCGGAGTGCTGTGTAAAACACAGGAAGGATAATTAGGTGCCATCCTCATTGCCACCACCGCCCGTGATAAAGGCGCTATCTTGACAGCAGAGACGAAGCTGAGCTCCAGATCCAGCCCCACGAGTCTGGAAGGATGAGCCCGCCTCTGGGGGCGCTGGGGCGGCGAGGCAGCATGGCCCGGAGTGGCCTGGGCGTAACCAGTGAGTGTGTCCAAGCGCAGACGCTCCTGTCCTGGGCGCTCACAGTCACGGTCAGGCAGCCACAGCGGGAGTGCAGGACTAGAGTCTTCAACACCAAGCGACAAATAAGACGAGTGAACTGGGGCTTTCAGAAGTTTATGTGCCTGGTCCAAAGTCACAGGGCTGGCGAGCGAGGGAGCCAAGGGGTCTGAGCACCAGCCTGACTTCAGCCCCGGGGCCTCGGAAGGGCAGAGAACGCCTTTGAGCACCGGAAGCCTGGCCCCCTGCTGGTGGGAACGTAAGGGGTACAACCACTCTGGAAAAGCTCGGCAGCTCCTTAAGGAGTTAACGATGCACTGACCACGTGACCCAGCCACTTCCTGCAGAAGTATTTACTCAACAGGAAGGTCTTTATTGCAGTCACCCAAACTAAACACAACTCAAATACCGCCAACGGATGGATAAACAGATTGTGGCATCTCCCTACGATGGAGTTATTGATAAACATAACAGCATGGATTGATCTCAAAATAATCATGCTGGGGGGGAGGGGAAACCAGACAAAAAAGAGTGCATACTAGGTAATGCCATCTATATAAAATTCTAGAATATGTGGATTAATCTATAGTGAAAGAAAACAAATCCAATTAGTGGTTGTCTAGGGATGGGGGTTGTCGGAAACTTTGGGAGGCGATGGGTATCGCCTGTGGCGATGGTTTCCAAGGTGCATGCAGATGTCAAAACTCATCATGGGACATTTTTAATATACGCTTTTTTTGTGCATCAGTCATTCCACATAGCCTTTTGTCAAAAGGAAAAGCCTCCTTTGGTCAGTCTTGCATTAAAATGTTAAAGCGCTCTTGGAAACAGCCCTTTGTTGTACCGTTTCTGGTGGGAAGTGGCCTCCATGCCACCCGGCCAGCCCTGGTGAGAGTGGAACCCTCATTTGCTGTGAGATGAACTAGCCATTGATGGGTCTGGGGTTCCTTTAGCCCTGGAACCACTGCCAGTAAGCGGGGAAGGCAGCCGCCAGGGGGCGCACAGTGACTTCCTTTTTCTGGAACAGGCTTTGAGCCGTAAAATCATCCAAGAGCAAGATCAGCAGGCTTTCCCACAGGATTGTAATTGAAATTTTAAAAATAGAATGGAAACAGCCAAACAAATCATAGTCCAAAATTTCCGTAGCCCTAACCAGTGGCTCAGTTGCTTGGGCTTCCTCTGTGCACTGAAAGGTGGCCGGTTTGATTCCTGGTCAGGGCACATACGCAGGCCGGGGGCTCGATCCCAGGTGGGAGGCGTGCAGTAGGTAGCTGATCGGTGCTTCGTTCTCACATCGATGTTTCTCTCTCCCTCTCCCTTCCTCTTGCTCTAAAAATCAATAAAAATATTTTTTTGAAAAGGAAACTTTGGTAAAGGTCCCTCTTCCGTGGGCCAGCAGTCCCATCCAGGATCTGACCTAGAGAAGTTCTAGTCC